CCCTGCGACTCTGACGCCGGGGACCGAAACACCGTCTACTGCGACGCCATCCACGGAGACCCCGTCTACCGCGACCCCGTCAACGGAGACGCCTGCTACGGACGAGCCATCCAAGACGGACGAACCGAGCAAGACGAAGGAACCGGACACCTCGTCGGGCTCGTCCGATGAGCCCACCGAGTCACCGGCCCCTGTGACGGCCTCGCCCGACGAGACTGAGTCTCCTGCTCCCGTGACGAAGACACCGACGGCTACCAAGTCGCCCATTGCCATCGAGACGAACTCGGGCAGTGAGGACGAACAGGACGCGTCGGAGATGAAGGATCAGACGCAGTCAGACGTCATCATGTACAACGCTTCTGCCACGCCGATCACGGCCACGGCCAAGAGCGGTTCGTACGACCCGTTCGCCATCCCGGACGACGAGACGGAGACGGAGAAGCCGGTTGTGCTGAACATTGCCGGCGATACGGGCAAAACCGGCTCGGAGGACATGGTGACGTACGTCCGAGGGAAGACGGCCACGACGGGCAGTGCGGCTGCCAACAACGCCAACGTGATAGGTGGACGGAACACGTACGTGGACACGGAGGACAGCGACGTGCTGTCTGCATCTGCCGCGGCCTTCCACGAGTTCCTACGCTACGCATCCGTGGCGTTCGCCGGTATCTCTGTGGCTCTGTTGCTTTTCTTCCACTTCGTCTCCTTGGATGCCAACCTGCTGTGGGTCAACGCTGCGTGGAGTCCCAATACGTGGGAGTTCCTCTTCTACGTTGGCTACTTGCAGCAGATGCAGGCCACGTCGGAGCTCACACTACTCAAGACACCGTACTTCTTGTGGGACTACACAGACTCGTTCGCCTGGAGTAACTTCTTGATCCAAGACACTACTTCAAGCGACACTGGAGCTCGTCGTCTCGACACGATCGTACTGGGTGGACTGGTATCGTACGCCGACCGTATCGGCATCTCTGAGGAGAGTATCCTGAACCAAGGTGCCACTGGTTTTGCCGTGATCATGGGAATCCTTCTGGTTATCTTCCTGGTGCTGGCGATGCTCGCTAAGCGCAAGGCTGAACGCGCACTGGACGAGTCGTCCGACCTGAACAGCTACACGTCCGGCGTGCACCGGCTCCGTAGCGTGTCCATCCGTGCGCTCGGCCTGTGCGTACTGGTCTGGTACTTCGCACTGTTCCCGTTGAGTTTGCTAGCGTCGTTCGAGATCTCCATGGAGGTACAGTCGTCGACCGTCGCGGACTCCCTTGTGGTCGCTATCATCGCCCTGGTCCTGGTCTGTTTCGGTGTATTGGCCGTCGCGGGCCGTGTGATCATGCACAAAACCAAGGACGAGCTGGAACAGTTCGAGAACCTGGCCACGTGGGGATCTCTGTACTGCGAGTACACGTACCGTAGCCGCATGTTCTTCGTGATTGACGTCGTGGTACAGATCACGACTGGTATCCTGGTCGGCTGCGTGTCGGGCGACCCGACGCAACTCATTGTGGTCATGGGCATCCAGGCGCTGTACCTCGCGTGCGTGTTCATCATGTCGCCGTTCGCAGACCAAATGGTGCTTCGCATCACGTACGTGCTGGGTCTTCTCAAGATCCTGAACTTCGGACTGGCGTTCGCCTTCCTCAACTCCAACACCATGTCGGCCACGGCCCGTACCCGCGTGGCTCAGGCGTACATCGGCATCAACTCGATCGTGATTCTGGTCTGGTTCGTACGCCAGCTCATCGTCTTCAGCACGTACATCCGCGCGTGGATGGTGCGTTCGAACGACGACTCCCGTCGCAGCGACTCGGTCATCAAGTACGACCCGCAGACGGACACGGAGTCGGAGCTGTGGGCCAGCCAGTTCACTGCCAACGGCATGAACAACAGCCGACTCAACAACAGCAGACTTGGCCAGTCTTCGAACGGCGCCACGTTGTCGCTGCCGGTGGGTTCGTCGATGCAGTCGATGCAGCCGTCGTACCAGAGCTCCACCACGTCGTACGGCCAGGCGTCGTCACAGCAGTCGATGGCGCCGTCGTTCGGCTCGGACGTGCAGTATCAGCAACAATTGGCTCGCAAATACGAGATCGGCTTCTAACGAGGACGTTGAGAGCAAAGAGAGCTCTACGTACTTGCGGCAGCAACAGCAAACAAGTAGCTTTTTTGACGATTCTTTTTTGATTTTCTGCCCTTACGAGGAATATAAAGACAATGGTAATAGCGTTTTTGCGCTTCATCGTGTGTTTTGGCCAAGACTCATGCACTATGGGTAACGCTAGAGCTGTCTCCCCTTTCTTACTGCACTAACAACACCTACATGTACGACATGTCCAAAACATTTCATTGAACATCGCTGCAAAAAGCACCTTCATGAGAATTTGAAGCTTGCAATTCGAAACCCGAAACCAGCTCGACATGTAATTCAAAAACTCAATTTCTGTAAATGCACGGTGACGGTACCAATTGCTTGACGGGTTTTGACCAGTCCCACAAAGAAAACGATTCTTGCGCCTGTTGAGCTGCTGTTTCGAGCAATGGGGATGACTACGGACCTTCCTCATGCCATCAAGCTCGCTTCGCTCTTTCTGATAGTTCAGTGGAGCTTCCGTTTCACAAAACGTGTTAACGGGGTCGACTGAGCTTCTTGATCGCATTTGGAACAGCAGTGACGTTTTCGCGAGCGCTACAGAGAATAATCGACACTGGACGTATCCGCACAGATCGTCACTACAGACAGTACCAGTTTTCACGCTATCATTGACGGAAGCTGTGCGTTTGAAGAACTTGAAAATGGTCGTGTGACTGACGGACAGATTCCAGGGATATATTGTGCGAGAACGTGGTAGTTGAAGCTGCTGGCGTCGGAGCCATCGAGGTTTTGCCATTCTTTCGCGAAAACGATAACGCCTCAGTGGATCCAGCTATTCGAGATACTGGTGTGCGACTTCAAGTTCAACGGACTGGTCAAGATGAACTCTCTGCCGTGGAGACTGGTCATGGGCGGATCGCGTGGTGACTGCGAACACACCGCAAGCAAAATGTCAATGGTGCAGACCTTGCTGTGGAGACGGCAGTGCTGAACGGTAACATCCCATTGGTAGAGTGGCTGTTGAGTAATGGCTCCAAGTGGCCAGCACGCCAACACAGCCCGCGAACAAGTACCTTGTCGCTGTAAGTGGGCAGTTAGACGTCTTGGAATGGTTGTTCGAGAAGAGGCCCCGGTGTTAGTGTCACTAACACTACTGGACTGCTAACTGTAGCTGCGGAACAAGGTCATCTTAATGTTGTGCAGTGGCTCATTACCAACGGGAGATCGCGGTTATTCAGGTACACACTAAACAAAGCTCACGGATTTGGGAGGAGAGGCAAGTTTGGCGATCCACACTGGTGCCGTGAATGGACATCTCGAGGTTGCGAAATATCTGCGTGCTCGTGCAGCCAGTCCAAGTGATTCCTTGCAGCGAGCGCAAGTTGGTTTTAAACAAGTACGGCAACTACAGG